CATAGGTAAGGCTGTTGGCCAAGGGCAGATGAAGGAAGAGATGAGGGCCAGGCTGGTTGATCTTAGTGGCAGTTTATTACGAGGAAGTTTATCCCATAGAAGAACTTATGTTATGGAGGGCCTAGGTTCTCTCAAGCACATGTTCCCCTTGCTAGTCTCTCGGTAGTCCATCTTTCAGCCCCTGCTCTCTCCTTCTTCAGCTCCCTTCTAGTCTGGCTGACACTCCACCCAGTCAGGTAGCCAAATCAACATAAGAAAGCCCTTCCTGACTGCTCAAGGGCAAGATACCTCTTAAGGTGTTTTTCTCTTTCCCTCAGTCCAATAAACTATCAACTATTTCTGAGGTTATGCAGGAAGGACAGAACAGTGTTATCCTACAGTTGAGTAACATGTAAGAAAGAAAATATGCATTTTATTTTCCATCATTTCAGCTTTCAAAATGTGTACACATATCAGACAATGTTCATACCCTTGAATATACCAGCATAGTTCATGCCACTTTCTTTCCCCTGAAATTCTGCAAGTACTCATTTCTTTTTAGCTGTATTTTTAAATCCTTTCTTACTATTTAACATAACTGCCATAGCAAGTTTGAAATTTTACACATTTAAAATTATGCCCAAATTCTCCAAATATCAGCATAAGGTCTAAAATATTATACCCAGAAGCAACAGAATGAATGTCAAAACTCAGATACTACCACATGTACATGTCAAAATGTAAGTAAAAATTGATAATGCTTAGAAAGCATTGAATACAAAGCATACAAATTACAAGATAGTCTCCTTTAGATCATAAGAAACAGCTTCAACATTTTGTCCCAAACAATTGTAGGAGAATGATTATTTTATAGCAGTAGAGTTAATGCTTTCTTTGTAATTAGCCGATATCTGGTGCCTGTATTATGTCCTCACTTTACCAGGGGGGCCTTATTCTGTTCCGAGACGTGGCACTTTAGGCGGCTCCCGTGGTGCTGGACACTGGAAACTCCTGGGTCCCCCAACTCTGGCTCTCCTCGACGCCCCTCATAGCCATAGCACAGCGGGTAGGGCGTTTGCCTTGCATGTGGCCAACCCGGGTTCAATTCCTCCATCCCTCTTGGAGAGCCAGGCAAGCTACCCAGTGTATCCCGCCCACACAGCAGAGCCTGGCAAGCTCCCTGTGGCATATTCGATATACCAAAAACAGTAACAACAAGTTTCACAATGGAGGCGTTACTGATGCCTGCTTGAGAAAATCAATGAACATTGGCAGGACAGTGCTACAGTACTATAGCAGTAGAGTATAGAGACTAGGGGACTGGGGGGCTGGCCAGTGGGCAAGGCATTTGCCTTGCACATGGCCGAACTGGGTTCGATTTCCAGCATCCCATATGGTCCCCCAAGCACCACCAGGGGTAATTCCTGAGTTCATGAGCCAGGAGTAACCTCTGTGCAATGCCGGATGTGACCTGAAAAGTAAGAAAAATAAAAACTAGGGGACTGTTAAAAAGTAGACAATTCTACTACTTTTTTTTAAACACTATTTAAACAAATTTTGAACACCAATTTTATTTTTATACAAGTAAATATAGCTTTCTTATTCAAAAAGCAAACACAGACCATTCAAGCAATCTCTCTATTCTAGCCTTTCCCTCAACTTCTGGTAATTATCTATTTTGTTCTATTTCTATGTTTTTATTTGCATATTTCATATTAAAGAAGTCAGGGCAAACACAGCTTTCTGTAGCTGACCTTTTTCACTTAACCTTCTTCAGGGTTCACTCACATTAAATCACTATCAGTATTTTGTTCTTTTATTTCTTGAAAAATTAAGATTCTATGTATGAATGTGCAACAGTTTTAATTAAAAAATGAATAGACATTTGGGATGACTTTCTGTATTTTGACTATTTTGAATGTAGTCACGACTGCTGCCTTGAATATATATCCACATGTATGTAACTACCTGTTTTATTTTAAATATACTGAGACTAGAAATTTTTAGAGTATATTGCAATTCTACATTTATGATCGAATGAAGTAACACTATATTATATAATATTGTTTCAGTTTGGCATCATTAAACATAACTGTGTAATCAATACATACTACTCTAAATATGCCTCTAAATGTGTCCAGTTCTCCACTGCATCACACGATTGACACATTTTGTCCTCATGTCCCTTTTACTTACCATCTAGCAAACACTTCTTCATATTAGAATATAAATGCTTAGTTTTTTAACTTAATGTATCCACTTGCTATATTTTTATACATCGATATGTGTAATTATATCATACAGTAATTGTTGTTCTCTCACTAAAGCATTTCACCCAGAATCATATTCTCTTACGCCATTCATATTATTGCAACTGCCAGGATTTCCTTATTTTATTACTGAGTATTTTTCTAGTGTACTTGTATATCCCATGTTCTTTATTCAGACATCTCTCTGTAACAGAAACCTAGAATATTTCCAGCCCTTGACTATTGTAAATCATCTTGCAATAAAAATGAAACTGCGTAGACTTCTTCAAATAAATGTTTTTCTTACTGAGGTGGAGGGCTAACCACCCAAAGTGGAATCATTTTATTTTATATTTATTTTATGAAAAAATGTAGGATTATTTTTCAGAGGGACTGAATTATTTTAAATTCCAGTCAGTAAAGTACAGTGTTCTAATTACTCCACAGCCTCATCAACACTTGCTATTTTCCTGTTTTTTTCTAATTATAGCTATCTTAGTGAGTGCAAAGTACTATTTTATTGTAGATTTGATTCGTGTTTTCCTCATAATTGTTTAACTTCTTTTTATGTGTTTGCTTGTTATTTGAAGACATTGTTTGAATAAACATGTATTCAAGTATTTCAACATTTTCCATTGGGTTAAAGCACTCAGGCTTGTGAAACAGGTGTTAGGATGTTGAGATGATTATCTTCTGTTAACCTAATTGAGGCTATTTAGATTATCAGGCAATCCTATGCTCACCCTCTTGTGACATTCCATACTAGTAATTTATTTTCTTAGGCCTATATTCTAATCTTACTCTACCTAATTTCCACTTGTTCCCATAAATTTCAATTCTTTGCTTGTACAAGGTATTTGAGTAAATACTTATGATGTGAGATAGTCTAATTTCATTGTGTATAGATTTCCAGTTGCTTAACATTGAATAATTCTCGTAATCTTCTTGAAAATCAACTGGTCATGTGTATGTGTTAATAACTGTACTTTCAATGCTATTGTGAATAAGGGGAAATTTACTTGTCTTGATTTCCAAAATTCTCTATCCATTTGTTCTTTCTAAGATTTTAGCACTAAATGTTTTACTCTTCTGTTTGATGCCATTTAAAAATGAGTTTATTTTTGACAAAGCATTTAAATATGTACAGGAAGGAAAGTAATTTTTTATTGCAATGCCATATGTTTAGAACATTATAAAATGCATGTGAACAACAACAAAATAAAACCAATAGAATAACTTTTGACTCTAATTTTGGAACTCTGAGTTCATCTCTCTCCTCAGATTTTATAATGTGGGTGTGAATTGATTAAATTCATCACAACAGTAAAAGCATTGTATTAAAATGAAAATATCCTATTAATTTATCCCAAAGTAGATGATTTAAGCCTCAATTGGAATAACATCAACACTGTCAGGTTGCAAAAGTCTATAATACAATGTAAAATACATGTTTTAGTTAAGTTTGTGACTTAACAATAGCAAAACCAGCTACATAAGAGAACAAGTTTTATTTATATTAAGCTATCTATTCTAAACGGTGAAAAACTAAATAATAGTATAAAATATCCAAGTAGCATGTGTTATTTAAAGTTTAGTTCTCTATGACAGTAATATTAAAATCACTCAAATATAAAAAGGATCATAACAATATATTTATATATATATATGTTTTATAGATTACAAGATAAATGAGTAAATGCTTATAAACTTGATATTCTCTAGAAAATTGCAAAATATGGATTGAGTCCCTCTTGAAAATATTATAATGTATGTAAATATGTGTATAAAGAAGTAAAATGTATATAATCATTGATATTTATAATGGGCTGGAGCGATAGGACAGTGGTAGGGCATTTGCCTTGCGCAGCCAGCCTGGTCAAGCTGGGTTCGATTCCTCCGCCCCTCTTGGAGAGCCTGGCAAGCTATCCGTGATGTATTCAATATGCCAAACACAGTAACAACATGTCTCATGATGGAGACGTTACTGGGCCCGCTCGAGCAAATACATGAATAATGGGAGGACTGTGACCGTGAATATTTCATCTCTACATTTTTCAGTAAATTTAATTTATGGTAAAACTAACAAAGAAAAATTAGCTTTAATTTTAAGACTATCAAGGTGCTTATTTCTGTCTTTGGTGTTTCCATAATGGGCAAATATGTAACAATGAATGGTGAAAGGTGATAGAGATAAATCATAGAAATCACTTCTTAACTCAAAAGATTCTGAGACTACTAAGGAGGATGAAGTATTATACATTTTAAACTTTCACAAACAAGATAGATATCTTTCTTCATGGGATATATTAAGCACAATTTTGATATTTTTCTTTGTGGCTAAAAAAACAACTGAAAGATCTCATTTAGTTTTGCATTATTCCACTTAGGTTAAGAAGCACAAGCCATAATACCTTTAAAGAAAACACCTTTCAACATGAATAACATCTTAAATATTCAATAATATATTTTAGGGAGGGGAGCAAACCTGGTGGTGGTCAGGGATGATTCCTGGGTCTGTGATCTGGGATCCACTCCTGGTGGGGCTCAGGGGACTTTATGGGGATCCAGGGATCAAACCTGGGTTTGCAAGGCAAACACCCAACACATTTTACCCTACCCAGCACTCTGGCCCCTCAATAACATTTTAAATACTCAAATAATGTTTGCTGTATTTGCTTAAGGGTGAAATAAACTATCAACTGTAGTTCAGAGTTAGTAGGAATAATCACTGAGACATAAAATGTCTTTGTGTCTATTTTTTTTCTGCTCTAGTACTGGGATTCTTACCTTAGGGAAAGCGCTGGACAGGGAAAGCACTGACCGCTACATTCTCATCGTCACGGCAACCGATGGCAGGCCTGATGGGGTAAGTACTACACGTGGGAATGGTTCTTAAAATCATGATTGGAGAACATGAAAGAGTATTATCTTTATTGTAAAATACGTTTCTAGTCATGAATCCTTGAACTAATATCCCCATCTCTCTTACCCTGGAACATCTGAACCATAAATAACTTCATTTACTTACTTGAAATTTTTAAACTTTCTCTAATAGGTTATTTTAACCGATTAACCAAAAGTCTGGCTCCATTATGGTGTTTGGACTGTTAACTTGACAGATAGTTTCTTCTGATTGGGTACTTCATTATCATTATCATTTTTTTTTTTTTGGGTAATGAAACAGTTTCATTGAAGGAGGTTACTGATTCTAAGAACAATGTGGAAATTTGAAGATACATAAATATATATATGTACACACATACATAACTATACATATATATCTATATGGAGAGAGAAAGAGAGAGAGAGAGAGAGAGAGAGAGAGAGAGAGAGAGAGAGAGAGAGAGAGAGAAGAAGATGCCACCCAAATGTGGAAAAAAATGTATCCTAGAAAAGGGTATGAGCGACTCTAAAGTGTACTTCTGTGAAGTAAAGGAAAAGAAATTACACACACAGATTAGGATGCAGGCAACTTTAGAATGAACTATGTCTTCTGGAGTGCCTTTTTTTTAGATTTACAGGAAAAATGAAATGCCTATTTGTCTAATAAGTGTTCCATTGTGCCATTGATTAATGTATACTCTAAAATGTATTTTGGCAGTTTCATAATGTTGGAACTTATTTTATTTAATATAACTCCAGTGTTAGCAAAAAATTAATTCGTAGATAAATATCTTGAAGCCCTTAGGAAAACATTTTGATTGATTGCATAGGTTACTAGTCAGAAGTACTACAAATCAAGGCTGATATTTGATGATCGAAATGTTTTATGGCCCTATATTCTACAGAAAAAAGTCCTATTTTTCTCTCCACCAAAAAATCCATTTCAATGAGCTTGAGAGATAGCACGGAGTTTATGAGGTGTTTGATATGAGGTTGACCCTGATTTGACCCATAGCACAGAAAGTAGATCCCACCCCCACCCCAGGCCCAGCATTACCAGGAAGAGCACTGGAGGCTCAAGTACACCCTCCCCTGCCCATATTTTTCAAATAAGCATAGTATTACATCATTTTGCATATCCCAAAATTAATTGATTGTGTCCTCTAAATTATCTCAAATATCTGCCACAATTCTGGTATTTAATCATTGTAATATTTAAGTTGTTGCTAATTATATTTTATGTCATAAACTCTGTGCCACACAGCAGTTTTCTTTTATTAAGGATATTTGCTGGCTTAGATCTGAAAAATATTGGTGTGAAGGTCTTCAACAAACCTTTAGCGAACTGAATCCAAAAACATATCAAAAATATCCTATGCCATAACTAACTGGGCTTTAGTTCAGAGCTGTAATGATGGTTCAGTATATGCAAACCAATTAACCAATTAATTACATCATAATTATGCGAAGCAACCGATCAGTTCAGTTGAGTGATTGGCATGTACATTTATTGATCGTTAATGTGTAATAATTAATGTAATACTTATTACATTAATGTAATAATTAATGTAATATCAGTAAAAAATATAAAAATAATATCAACATATCAATAGATGCAGACAAAGCTTTTGACAAGATTCAATGTGTTTAATGATAAAAGTTCTTAGTTTAAAAAAGAAGGATTGAAAAAACTTAACTCAAGTTAGTAAATCCGATTGTAAGAAATATCAAGTTGACATCTTATTTGGTGATTAAAATATGAGAGTCTTTACTTTGAGATCAGGCACAAAACAATCATTTTCATTTTCTTTACTACTATTCAGTAAGAGATTGAAGATCTCAGCATTGAAATCAGGCAAGAAATATAAAACAATGACACACAAATTGGAAAATAGAGATAAAGTGTCACTTTTGTAGATGTCATGATAATACATGGAAAAGACCTTAAAGATTTCACAAATGCTTGAAATACTAAATCAATATAGCAAAGTAATACCTACTCAATATATAAAAATCTGTAATACTTGTATTTAACAACAAACTAGAAGATGAAGAATAAAAAAGGATAGCTCCACTTAATATGCATAGTTTTTAAATAAAAATGTTTATGAAAGTTTTAAATGTAGATTTACAAACCATACTAAGATAATTGAACTTTTCACACTGTAAGGCTAGATTTTTCTAAAGAAAATTTAAAAATATATAAAACATTCCCAATATTTTACTCCTAAATATGAATATTTTTTAATGATGAATGGATGTTGACTATGAACAATTAAAGAGATTGGCATAAACATACTTTGTGTGAACGGAAGTTTAGCTTAGGTGTAAATATTGTAATTTCATTTAGGGTAAATAGTATACCCCCAAAGTGTACACATTATGTTTTTATTTAGGAGGTAGGTGGGTCACACTGGCTATGCTCAGGGCTTAGTCCTTAACCAGAGATTAGCCTGACAATATTGGGGGTTAGGGGAAAATGATGTCTATATGTAGTGCCACAGACAAAATCAGAGTCTACTGAATACAAGACAAGAAACTTACCTGCTGTACTATCTCTCTAGCCTCTCTGGTAATTCCTTGTTATAACAATAAAATAAATACAGAAGATAAAGGTAAAATCATTTATCTACTAGTAATTTTACAGGAAATACTTGAAATTTGGGGAAAGATACTTGTCCTTTATTATTATTATTACTTGCTTTTATTCCCTATTTTTCTGAGAGTTTTAAGTTTTTGGTTTTGTAAAATTTAAGCTTCTCTCTTTTGGTTGAATAGCTGATATAAGGGTAAAACTAAAAACTTTTCTGGCACACAGATACCAGGTTGGTCACATAAGTGGCATCGAAATAAAAATAGCTTCTTCAAATTTGATCTTTTTATTTATTTTTAAAGACATCAACTGCAACAGTGAACATAGTGGTGACAGATGTCAATGACAATGCTCCAGTCTTTGATCCCTATCTGCCTAGAAATCTGTCTGTGTTGGAGGAAGAAGCCAATGCCTTTGTGGGCCAAGTGAGGGTAAGTGAATTTTATATCACGTGCCTTATATCAATACATTTAAAATGCATTAGACCTTATATTTTATTTGTCGGGAGGAGGGGTGCTCAGGAGATGCTCAGTCTCACTCCCATGTAGTGTTCAGAAGGCCAGGGATACCGCCCGAGTCCTCAGCAAATCTGGCTAGTGGTTAGTGAAAGGACCTGGAGACACGATGCCGCGCAGGAGTGGCCAGAGCCGCCATGTCTGAGCTCAGTGCATAGAGGAGCCACAGCCAGTGATGCTCAGGGACTCTACATCTGCAACCTGCGGTACACACGGGGCCACGTGATGCTTGGAGCTGAGCCCTGCTGCACTGTCTTCCTGTCTGTTATATTTTATTTTGAAAGATTTAACCAATGAAAAACGTTGAAGGATGGCACATCATAATTATGCGAAGCAACCGATCAGTTCAGTTGAGTGATTGGCACGTACATTTATTGATCGTTAATGTGTTGTATTCTCTTGAAGAACTTTTATTATGTGTATGTTTGGACATAACTTGCTGATTTTATTCATTTACTTTTGCTTTTTGTTTTGGTTCCACCTGGCTTTGCTGAGGGCTTAGTCTCATTCTACATTCAGGGGTCACTCCTGATTGGCTTGGGGGATCTTATGGGATGCCTGGGATGGAAGCCTGGTTGGATGTACACAAGACAAGTGCCCTGCCCAATGTACTATTACTCAGGACTGAAAAATATTCATGTAATGGCCATTGTACAACTTAAACATGGACTCATGTGAGAGAATTCCTATTATTTAATATTTTCCTTTTGTGGGACAAAAATAATGTTTTTTTAGAGAATTATGCAGTTGCATACTTATTTGAAATTACATTCATCAAAATGTAAATATATGAACATAAAGACATTTGATTACATAAACAGTTTTAGCATTGCATCTATTGTGCACCTTAAACTTTTCAAAAAGCTTTTATCCAATATACTCAGAATTTATTTCACTATGTTTTTAACTGAAAATATTTGCCAGTTTGTTTAAATTTTTTGCTAAAAAGTATATTTTATCTTCAAGAAAAATAGTAATATCTCAGTTGGACCATTCTATTCTATTGAAAGCAATCAATGAGCTAGAGATTATGAGAAAAAATCTTGAGGGAATATGGATTTTAAACCATTTAACTCAGATGAGCATCTATGTGACCTACAGCCAAATAAAGAACCCCCTTGAGCAAAGCAAAAAGCCCCACATTGATCCATGTTTAGGATTCTGGATTCTATTCCTTCCTCATTAAGGTTTTCTTTTGAACAGGATGTTTGCCAATGCTATGGCTCCCATCACAGTTATATTTCCCTTACCTCTGACCGAGGGTCTGTTTTTCAGACTGTAAATAGGAGGAACTCTTCGCTTTGTTTAGGTTTCCTCAGAGCACTGATAGTACCAACTCTATAGCTGAGTCCTAGAAACTTCACCATTGCTGACTTGCCTTTTTGTCTTGATGTCATCTGACAAACAAGCCAATTATCTGAAGCAGATCAACACTGTACATCTGTGCCAACATTTTATTGTAAAATTCTACAAACTGGGGATCAAGACAAAGATATACTTTATTTTAGAAGCTCAAGAAATACTAGTAGGAAAGTGAGGAAGTTATGTAGAGAAGAGAAGAAATTCAATAAAGATGTTAGTACTGGAGCTGCTGTAAATATAGAGTTTAATCCTGCGTTGCAGAATCTGAGAATTGGTACCAAAATATGCCTAACATTATATGTTTTCACAGAAAAGATATAACTGGAAAATAGAGAAAGGAAATCCTGAGAGTTTTTGGTCCTGGACAACGTGGAGGGAAATACATTTGGGGCATTTCTATCTCCAGAGCAAACAAGCAGCATCTTTTGTAATTCTCATGCAAGAGCTTTCAGTCTTGTATTGTAAAGCTTAAGATACGAGTAGATGGTATTTAGAGTCTATACAAGCTCTGTGAGGTATATGTGGGGCATTGGCTGTATATTTTTCTGTAAATAAATAAGGCGATAAGGTCTATAATAGGACCATATGCAGAAAACCTTGAAAGGGAGTTGAAGGAGACTTATGAAAACGAAGACAGTGGGAAAGGAATTGGGAAAGGATAGAAACTGTCCAGAGAAAAATCCCTAAGTAAAAGCATAGAAAAAGGAAAGAATGTGACAAATCAAAATAATGTCGAATAAGATACACCACATCATGAGCATTATTCCGTGCCATGGCATTGTATTTGCTAAGGGGTTTCTGAAGGTATGATATTGTTAAGTTTTTATTCCTGAGTAAATTGTAATGGGAAATGCTAAATATAGGTATCTTTATTTGAAGACAATTATAATAGTCCAGGCATATGAGCTTGTATTAATATATAGATTAATCATAATGATAATTAGGTTATATTACAGTTGTCACTCTAGGATGCCACTTTGATGAAAAATGAAAGACTATTTTGTCTTATCTATAAGCTATTCAGATAAAATAAACAGGTGTCAAAGCCATGTAGGTAAATTATATCTCTCCTTTCTCATAATTGGTTAAGCATGGGAGAAAATAACATAATATCCAACTACTAACAGAATTAGGCATTAACATGAATGAATAATTTTCACTCAATTTCATTTTGCCTTACTATTATTTTTATCATTTTATTAGTAATCATTTGATTTTGGAGGAAATGCAGCATTTAGGATAATAGTTTTCATAATTTTCTTCAGCATTCAAAATTATAGATCTTAGCACTCATCATTTGATAAAACAATAATTGTTTTAGTCTTTAAAAATAACATGTTTTCATAAAACTAAAATGAGTTTGGAAGTACAAAGAAAGAGGAAAGCAACCAAAGTAGCCACATCCAACTGATTTTGCATAGTTACAGAGAAGCTATAATGTTCACAGAATGAAATTTATGTGAATCATTATGGCCTCCTGTTGCTAACTAATGATAATTATATAATACATTAATTTCACTAAATGATTCATGCTCTGTTTATAAAACTTACTTACCAAAACCTATTAAGAAATTCTTAATCCCAAGATATATATAATTATTAGAGAAAATTTGAATTTTGCTCTGATATTTTTATGTAAATAACCCAATATTTGGATTGAAGCAGCAAAGGAAATCTTATTTATCTTTCAAGATAGTGTGTTGCAATATCAAATTATATTTAAAAAGGAATACTTCAAAAGCAATATTTAGAGTTTATGAACAGCAAAAATGAATCATCTTATTAGATAATCAAATAGTGTTTTTAATGTGAAACCCCTTTTATAAAAGCACAGTACGCAGCAAGTAAACTTGAGAAAAATATCTATACTCACAATTAACTTAAACATGTGGTCAAGTTATTTCATCAACATGTAGTTGATGAAAACGATAATCCAGATAAAGCCTCAGAAACTATAAAAGTAAACTACATGTCTCCCAGAGAAGCATAAAATATGACTACCAATAACTCACTAAAAGGAATGAGAAACAACCCAAAGGACTAAAGTGAAATAGTCAGGGTTTTCTCAGCACTTTGAGGAATTAGATAGATTGAAAGCACAGCAACAGGGAGATGCCACACAGACAGGACATTCAAGGCAACTGAAATTCAGAAGAGAGACATTGAGGATGCCTTTAGTTCAGTTAGTGATGTTGTGGAAAATTGATGGAAAACATACTGAGTTCAGACAGGGAAGGACAAGAAGATCCTGTGAAATAGCTACTACAACTAGGAATTTGCTTGTGAATTTGATGTTTTGTTCACAGTATTAGATAGTTAACAGAATTTAATGTATAGTATTTCATAGTTAACAGAATCCTATGGTCTACTCTTACAATATTATAACTAAACCATACAAGTGACAAGAGATGATCTTCTGAATGAGGGTTAAATAATATTCTATGTCACTTGATCACTTGATCACTTGACATCCCGTTACTCATCAATCTGCTTGAGTGGGCACCAGTAACGTCTCCATTCGTCCCTGTCGCATGCTAATGTAGTCCAATGGCATCTGCTAGTTCTAGGAACACAAAGAGCCTCAAACCAATCATTCAGGGTCTTGACAAAGAAGTCTGACCATCTCATAGGTGGGCGGCCACGTGATCTTTTGACGTCCCATGAATTCCAGTAATGGCTCTAGTCCAGCGGTCATCTCCAAATCTCATTACGTGTCCAGTCCATCTGATTTTCAACACCATGGCAAACAAGACAGCATCTCTGATTCTTGAACGTCGACGGAGGTTGGAACTCCATATTATTTCTCTCATTTGAGTGAACCGAGATATTCCAAGCATAGCTCTTTCGATTCCTCTTTGAGAGCCCTGAAAAGCGTTCTTATCCTGTTTTCGTAGGGCACAGTTTTCTGAGGCGTATGTTAATGCAGGAAGAACAGTGGAATCTAAGAGATGTTCACGAAGCTGCAGGTTCTCCATCCCCTTAGCTGTTCTTTGATGCTCTTGAAGGCATTCCAAGCCGCTCTCTTCCTCCTGCACAACTCAGGTGCCAAATCATTTGTCATGTTGACTTATCAACCTAGGTACACAAAACTGTTGCTTTTGTAGATGTTTGTCCCATTGAGAGTGAATGGAACATCAGGAACAAGACCGTTTGTCATAAACATTGTCTTTGTGAGATTCAGCTGTAGTCTGACCTTTCCACACTCACAGTCGTAGTTGGCCATTATTTGTGCTGCTTGGCTGATGTTCGATGTTATAAGAATGATGTCATCAGCAAAGCACAGGTGTTGTAGTTGCCGACCATCTATCTTCACTTCCATTCCTTCCCATTCCAGTCATCATATGACATTCTCGAGGGTGGCACTGGAGAGTTTCAGTGAAATGGTATCACCCTACAGAACCCCTCTCTTTAGGTCAATGATCACCTCCCGGTAGTATGGTGAGATCCTGGTAGTGAATCCGTGTAATACAGTTCATGGAGGATCCTTATATATTGACATTGAATGCCCTGTTTGTCTAGGGCCTCGATGACCACTTCCGTCTCAACAGAATCAA